ATGCTAGATCTGACACTTACAAGCTATAGTAAGTCACTGGAACTCTCTAAGCTTCAGGTTTCTCATCTGTGAAAAGCAAATAATACTTCTTGCTGTCATTGTGGGAAAAGCACATATAATCTTAAAGTGTTTTATAAATATGAATTATTATTACTGCAGATCAAAAACGTTCTTAATACTGAGCCAAAGAGTGGGAGGACAGGTTTCCTTACATACCCCCTATCAAGAGTCAGAACTGGTCTCAAAACATAAATAAACCTGAGTCTAAGAAGAAGGGCAAATGGGTTCAATTTCAGGATGTATGCGGTTGGGATCAAGATGATACTCATGTAGGAAACTGATCGAACTTTGTGCTTTTCATCCCGATGTTTCTTATATTAAGGACAAATTTCAGAAACATTCTGATTAGATGATATTTTCAACCAGACTCAACTCCAACAAAGACAGAGACCTGGTTCTTTGGAGTTCAGGTGAATTCTATAACTCTCATGGCTTCCCAAAGAGAGTTTATACATTTTTCTGGCAGATAAAGTTGTCCCACATTTGTAATTTAACCCAAACTTCCATATTGCCAAAATGGTCTAAAATGTTTCCCCTTTATTTTAAACTTTAAAAAAACACACACATACAAATAAATGGATATTATGACTGCTGAAAAATTATCAGCCATAATATATTTTAATCAGATCTATATCAGGTTCTTCGATGTGGTACATATGTTCAGTAAATAATAAAAATTCCCCAGAGAAGTGAAAACCTAATAGGTTGTGTCCACTTTAGATTTAAAAGTCCAAAAAAAAAAAGATAGATGCAGGAAGAAAATAGTTTGGTGGTCAGAAAGGCTAAAAGAATGCTCATATTGCTAACAGTATGTGTGATAACTAAATAACAACTATTTATTAAGCACTTTATATAGGCCAGCAACTTTACTGGCCACTGGAGAAACAAAGACATAAAAGAACATTCCTCTCCTCCAGGTGCTTGCATTCTGTCAGGTGAGCTAATGAAGCCAAATCTTGCCTCACGCACTTTCTTGCTAAATAACCCTGGAGGAGACATTTAAACTCACTCAGCCACAGTTTCTTCATTTCTAAAATGAGTTATCAAATTCCATAGCTTCCAATGACTCTTACAATTCTAAATCCTATGATCCAATCACATAACAGTGTTTATAAAATAAATATATTCAAAATAAATGCAAGGCAATTTTTTGTGGCACAGTAGCATCTGGGGGATTAAGAAAAAAGTTGGGGAGGGTGGATGGAGCCAAGATGGTGGAGTAAAAGCATTAACTTGTTTGAACTCTCCCCCAAAGCCCTCCAAATACCTGTAAAAAATGGCTCTAAACAAATTCTAAAGCAGCAGAACCCACAAAAAGACAGAGTGTAACAAATTTGCAGCCCAAGACAACCTGGATGGTTAATTGGAAAGCTCTATCATGCCAGGCTGGGAGAGGAACGCAGTTCAGCATGGTCATGCTGTCAAAACAGGCCTCAGTAAAGCTACAGTAGTCCTCAGAGGACTGAGTCATCAGCAGCTGTGGCAGTTTCCAGACTTCTTGACTCACAACTGCCAAAGAGAACTTAGAAGGTAAGTAGAAAACTCTGTGACCACAGTGAGAGAGAAGCTGGGTCCCAGCCCCAGTCCCACTGTGGCTCCAGGGTGGCAGCTGCTTCCTCAGCTTTCAGCCCACAGACTGAGGGGTGAATATAGTGGATGAGCAGAGGGGGATTGCAGGGATCTCTTTGTTCATGCTGAGGCAGGATTCTCTTACTTTGCCCTACTTGGATCTGGGTCACAATTCTGGGTAGCAGTCGTGGAGCAAGGAGGAGAACTGGTTTGGTGGAGCTCGTAGTGGCAGTAAAGAAGGAATCCTCCTCTCAGTTCCAAGGCAGAAAAGCGTGCTTGTGGTCACTCATAGACCAGAGCACAGGCCAGGAAAGGAGTAAACACCTCACCTCTGATCGTACGATGTTGGAAGAATGAAAACTTACAGACCCCTAGAAGTATCTCTAAAAACAGCTGCACAAAACCAGTACATTCTCCACACTGGCAGCAGACTCCTACCTTAACTAAGAGTTTATAATTCAATTAATTGGCTGAGATCATGAGCAAACTGTGCAAAAAAAAGTCAGACCATAAAATCTTTCTTTGGTGACAAAGAAGATCAAAACATACAACCAGAAGAAGACAACAAAGTCAAAGCTCCTACATCGAAAGCCTCTAAGAAAAATAGGAATTGGTCCCAGGCCATGGAAAAGCTCAAAAAGGATTTTGAGAAGCAAGTGAGACAAGTAGAGGAAAAACTGGGAAGAGAAATGAGAGTGATGCAAGAAAATCATGAAAAACAAGTCAACAGCTTGCTAAAGGAGACCCCAAAAAAATACCAAAGAAAATAACACCTTAAAAAATAGCCTAACCAAAATGGCAATAGAGGTCCAAAAAGCCAATGAGGAGAAGAATGCCTTAAAAAGCAGAATTGGCCAAATGGAAAAAGAAGTACAAAAGGTCACTGAAGAAAATGCTTCCTTAAAAATTAGAATAGAGCAATTAGAAGTTAGTGACTTTATGAGAAATCAAGACACTGTAAAACAAATCCAAAAGAATGAAAAAATAGAAAACAATGTGAAACATCTCATTAGAAAAACAACTGACCTGGAAAATAGATCCAGGAGAGAGAATTTTAAAATTATTGGACTATCTGAAAGCCATGATCAAAAAAAGAGCCTAGACATCATCTTTCAAGAATTATCATGGAAAACTGCTTTGATATTCTAGAACCAGAGGGGAAAATAGAAATTGAAAGAATCCACTAATCACCTCCTTAAAGAGATCCCCAAAGGAAAACTCCCAGGAATATTATAACCAAATTCCAGCATTCCCAGGTCAAGAAGAAAATACTGCAATCGATCAGAAAGAAACCATTCAAGTATTGTGGAAACACAATCAGAATAACACAAGATTTAGCAGCTTCTACATTAAGAGACCAGAGGGTTTGGAATATGATATTTCAAATGGCAAAGGAGATAGAAGTACAGCCAAGAATCACCTACCCAGCAAAACTGAATATAATCCTTCAGGGGGAAAACTAGACATTGAGTGAAATAGAAGACTTTCAAGCATTCTTGATGAAAAGACCAGAGCTGAATAGAAAATTTGACTTTCAAATACAAGAGTCAAGAGAAGCATGAAGAGGTAAACAGGAAAGAGAAATTATAAGGGACTTGTTAAGGTTGAACTGTTTACATTCCTACATGAAACGATGATATTTGTAACTCATGAGACCTTTGTCAGTATTAGGGTAGTTGGAAGGAAAAAACATATGCATGTAAATATAGATAGATAAATAGAGGGCACCAGGTGAGTTTAAGATGAAGGGGTGATATCTGGATAATAAAATTAAGGGATGAAAGAGGATTATACTGGGAGAAAGAAGAAAGGAGAGGTAGAATGTGGTAAATTATCTCACATAAAACAGACAAGGAAAGGCTTTTTTACAGTGGAGGACAAACAGGAGAAAGTGAGAAGGAATGATTGAATCTTATTCTCATAGGATTTGGCTTAGGGAGGGAATAACATACACACTCAATTGGGTATGGAAATCTATATTACCTACAGGAAAATGGGAGAGGGGACAAGAGAGCAGGGGTATGATAGAGGGGAGGGCAAATTGGGGGAGAGGTAATCAGAAGCAAACACTTCTAAGGAGGGACAGAGTCAAAAGAGAGAATAGAATAAATGGGGGGCAGGATAGGATGAAGAGAAACATACTCAGTTTTTCACAACATGACTACTATGGAAGTGTTTTGCGTGACTACACATATATTACTTATATTGAGTTTGGAACTCAAAAATCTCATGGAAGTGAATCTTGAAAACTAAAAATAAATAAATTAATAAAATCTGAAAAAAAGAAAAATGTATATAAAGTGGCATTTTAACTGAAAAACCCTAGTTTAATTTTTTTTTCAGATTAGCTATAGTTTAGCAGGCCTACCACATCTTGTACATGAGGTTGATTTTAACAGGCAACCCTCTATCGACATGGAAATAGCATTTTATACAGTTTTCATATGCATTTAGTCTTCCCAGCAGCCTAGTGAGTTAAGTCAAGTCAACAAACATTTATTAAGTGCTTACCATATATCAGGTACTGGGTTAAGCACTGGGAACATAAAAAATAAAAAAAAATTAGTCTCTGCTCTCCACGAGATTATATTGTAATGAGGGAAGACAACACACAAAGGAGAATTAAAAATGGGAATGGAGTGACATACTCACATGAGGGCATACTGAAGAAATCAGGAGAGGACTGAAGGAATAAGCATGGCTGGCCTGGGCACTTCTTCAAATGGAAATTCTGGGAAGAATTCTTCAATCAGAACAGGGGACCAGAGGGTGGAGGGATCTTTCAGTGTAAGAAGGCTATAGGACAAGAGGCCTTTTCCAGGATAAGAAGGATTTGGGGCCACAGTAAAGACTCAGGAGCAGAGCTGACAGAGTAGAATAGTAAGGCAGATTAGTGGTGCAGTGGATATAGTACCAGGCCTGGAGTCAGGAAGACTCATCTTCCTGAGTTCTAATTTGACCTCAGACACTGTGTTACCCTGGGAAAGTCGCCTAACCCTGTTTGTCTCAGTATCTTATCTGTAAAAATGATCTGGAGAAGGAAATGGCAAACCACTCCGGTATCTTTGCCAAGAAAACCCCAAATGGGGTCACAAAGAGTCAAACACGACTGAAAAATAACTGAACAACAATCACAACAAAGTATTTTCCATTTCTAAAATCCTATTATTAAATTAGAAAATAAATGTTCAGGTAAGAAGTGCAGTGTGTGCTTGGCATCTGCCAACAATTTTGCTTTGTAATTCTTCTCGGTGTGCCACGCAAAACAGTCCGATTACATATTTCAATATTTCACAGACCAACCCACACAATCATACTGTGGAAGGAAGAAGAAACAGAAATTAGATGAGAAATAAGACATTGTGTTTTACCGTGCCGTGAACTTTCAGCCTCTCTTGGATTGTCTCCCAGTTCCCACTAAATCAATCAGCTGGCATGCAGTGCAGGGTTCAGATGGATCAGTACAGCGCCACATACAGCTGTGTATATCTGGCATGTGGCTGCTGGGGCTGCTGTTACTGGCCTCTGTACTGCTGCTATGGTTGAGGGCGTCACTGCAGCTGAAAGAATACACTTTATCTCTTCTGCAAATTGAGATGTTCCAAGAACATATTCTATTTCAGAAGTTGTACTTGACCTTGACATCTGAGCTGGGAAGAAAGAGGAGGTGCATGGAGTGACCTGTAGAGCTCCATTTGTGAGATCCTCCCCACCCAGAGATGTAAGGGATGTCTTAGGACTGGCTCTGATCCTGCTTATCCAAAGGGAAAAGACAAAAAAAAAATTCATCCTCTATGCTGTAGAATGAGTTCTTTGTAATTTCTCTGAGGAAACACAGTGGTGTTTCTAAAGCATCTGTGTGCTTTTGCTAAAATGTATATTTTATTTGAAAAAAAACTTTTAGAATAGAAAATGCAATTTTCTTTATTTCTGCAAAGTTGTGGCATTACAGCTACTCAGAAAATATGAACATCAACTCTAATTTTCTAACTCAATTTTCCTTTTAACTCTACTTATTTTCATTTAATACTGATTCTGAATCAGCTTCCTGAAGACATCCTAGCACGAGTAGTTTTTATATGATAGTAAGATATAGGTAACTGTCATGTTCTGTTTTCTTCTTGCTTATCCTCAGTGTAAGTTCTTCAAAAACAGACTCTCTGTTACCATATTTTCTTCTAATCTCTTACAGACAAAAATATTCTTTCTACAGACAGACAAGACCCCCCAAAAGGAACCAAAACATCAGATGCAATGACAGATATTTGGCACGGGACAAAGTGAATCTAATCAGAGACAGGCTTTATATATGTTTCCTGAAGACATGCAAGTCTAATTAAGAGGATTTGAAATAAAAATGAAGAAGGGGGAAAATAGCCACATACACAACTTGATTTGACATGTAATTGCTAAATCAGATAACATAGAAATGTATAATATAGGAAGACATTGAAAGTCTCAGTCGTATAGAAGAAAAAAATCAAAAAAAGATTTAGTAGTAATTTTCTTAAACTCAGCTGTTTACAAAGAGATACATGGAGTATGGGTATTGGACAACATAAATTGGAAAACAACATAAGTAGCCAGACTTGACCTCATAGCTATCACTGAGACTTAGTTGGATCAAACCCATTCCTGAAACACAGCAAAGGGAACATGATATTTTATTCCAAAGAAGCCTTCTCCTCAAACCTGACACTCTAGCTCTCTCTCACTAGTACTCTGGAATTGTTAGTGGCCTAGTCCCAACCTAGACCCATCATGCTACTCCTCCCCAGTCATTTTCATGCTGCCATATTCTTGACTCAATACGGATAATTCAGCTGCTGCCTTGGGACAATGGGCTTCTGCTTGGTGAGTGTTCTTAATATCTAACCCTGACTGAGACCCAAAATGCTATTGTACTTCAGTCATCTTCAATCCATTATCCTAAGCTTTAAGTAGCACAGTGCATGACACGTTGTATTTAATAAACGATTTTTCATATATTCATTTATTCTCTTCTATATGTATTACTTTCCTATTGGAATATTGGCTCCCAGATGGAAGGGGTGCCATAATATTTTATATTTGTATCCCTAGGACCTCACACAGTACCTGATAAATTGCATTGAACAAATATTTCTCATATATCCATTAATCTTGTGACATTACATCAAGTAATTTTAGAGAAGAGATACTAATTGGTATCATAAAAGACTTGAATGGTGGGAGTGAATTTCCAGAACTGAGAAGTCAACAATTTCATAGATGGGTTGGTCTAGATAGCCACTGAGGTCAGTCAGCCAATAAATATTTACTAAGTGTCTACTATGTGCCAGGAAGTATGCTAAGTGCTGGGGATACAAATAGGAGAAAGAAAGACAGTCTCAAAGAGCTTATAATCTTAAGGGGGAAAAACACACCAAAAGAAACTAAAAAGGAGGTGGGGGTGGGAAGGTACCAAGAACAGAGGCATGATGGGAAAATCCAAAAAAGTGTGGCCATGTGAGAAATGAAGATGTGGTTACCCTTGGCTCTCCGCTTAGTTAGAGATTTTAGGGGAGCTCTTTACTAGCCCTTCTAATCTGAGTAGCTACAGGGCAGAAGGTACAAATAAATTGTAAGTACTAGGGATCATTTGATAGATCTTGCAGGAAGAAGAGGTTCATGAGGAGTTATGGAGAAGTCCAAAGGAGTAGAACCAAGTGGGAAACAAAGGATCCTTTCATCCTCAAATTCTCCAATTTTGAGATTCTCTCATAATTAGAGATAGTTGTGCCAATGATTTTTCTTCCACCTCATATACTATAAATATTTATACTTTTGTTTTTATTATTTGCTACACTATTACTAAATTGTACAGCTAATAGCTCAGATGTTTATTTAATCCTAAGATATTAGGAAGATTATGAGATAGACATATAGATAGATGAAATAAAAGGATGGATATAGATATAGATATAGAAACATGATATGGATATATTCTTATATCTCTATGTTTCTATCTATCTATGTGTCTGTCTATTTATCTATCTATCTATCTTATACATTTAAGCAAACAAAAAATATTCCAATACTGCTCATTCCTGATTGGCTTAAATAGCCTCACCCCTAGAGGTCTGACCTAGTTCTTATGGTGGCTGACCTTGCTTGTGTTTCTGCTAGGTGTTGCCATAGATAGAGTACTTGGCTTGAAGTCAGGAAGACTTAACTTCAAATCCAACCCCAGATATTCACTTGCTATGTCTCCGTGGGTGAGTCACTTAACCACCATTTGCCTCAGTTTCCTCATTTGTAAAATGGGGAATAGGCAACTATCTCCCAGAGTTGTTGTGAGGAGCAAGTGGGATATTTGCGAAGCACTTATTAGCACAGTGCCTAGCACGTAGTAGAAGCAATATAGATGTTAGCAATTATAAATAGCTACAATTATTCTCCTCTACCAACTTCATTGAACTTCTCCTAGCTCTCCTTTCTCCAGCTCCAAGCAACATCTACACATCTCACCAGATTTCTTTTCAAATTCTCTTCAAATCAAATCTCTTCAAATCTATCTTTCTGGAATATGATGATTTGGTAAAAAGTGATGAAGCGAATGGTTTCAGAAAAATCTAGGAAGACTGATATGAACTAATGCAGTGTGCACTGAGCAGAACCAGAAGAACAATTTATATAATAACAACAATATTGTAAAGACGATCAACATTGGAAGACCTGGGAATTCAACGAACCAACTTTTTTTTCAATGAACCAACTTTTAAAGGATACTGACATTCTTCATAGTATGCACTACTTCCTTTCAAATTCACTCTAAGGACTTGTCTGTAACTCATAAAGGGATCATTTTATATGATCTAAGTTTTAGTTAGTTTGAAACATTATTATTGGCCTCATTTTCTTTATTAGTTACTGAGCTTTGACTAATTGCCTTCCCTAGGATTCTGAATTGGGGCAGCTATTTTAAAGGTTGAGAAGAATGCTGGGCTGGGAGTCAGGTACACTTATCATCCTGAGTCTAAATTTAGCCTCAGACACTTACTAGCTGTGTGACCCTGGCAAGTTACTTAACCCTGTCTGCCTCAATTTCCTCATCTGTAAAATGAGCTAGAGAAGGAAATGGCAAACCTCTCCAGTAACTTTTCCAAGAAAACCCCAAATGGGGTCACAAAGAATCAGACAACTGAAAAATTACTGAACAACATAATTCTGAATTAGTCAATTCCAAAACTTCTGAGGTCTTTGAAATAAAGACACAGTCTGATTGAGTTCTTTGAGAGCAAGGATTCCTTTTGTCTTTCTTTACAACCCCAGTTCAGTGCTTGGAACATAGTAGGTACATAATAAATTTTAGCTGTTGTTGTTATTGATGATAATGATTGATTGATTGATTGATTGATTTAAAAGAGTTGGAGAAATATAAAGTAATAATTAGAAGAAGACCAATAGGCTTAATTTGGTCAGTATTTCAAGAATTTCCAAATTCTCCAAATTTCAAAATTCCTCAAAAATCCCTGAAACAGTGATAGAATACAATGCTATATGAAAAAAAAATTTAAAGATTTCATGGATCAAGGAGTTATATCAGTACCAAAAACTCCTAGGTATGTTTAAATCAAATAAAAGTACCTTATACAAATGTTGTACAAGCATCAAATATCATATTCCCATATTAGGACTCTTCATAAGATGGGAACCTTGTACTCACAGGGAATAATCAAAAGAGGTTTGCACTAGGCATGCCTCAGAATTACTGAGAGTCTAGCAGGTATATGGATAGGCAAAATGTATTTTAGTGGAAAGTTTCAAATAAACTGCTTTTGAATTTGTGAAGGCTCTTAAAGCGGAAAAACCTGAAATTATATATTGAGTACTTGCAAAAGCCATTGTCACTATGGACCTCACCTGAATGCTGAGGTACCATTTGCTATGTTCAGCAATATCAGCACAGAGAGCTTCCAAAAAGGATGATGCTTTAAGTACAGTGTATGGAGAACTCCAACAGTTTTTTCTAGGACTGAGGAAGACCACTGTTCAGATGAGCAAAGAGGTCTTATCCTAGAGGCAGTACATTTCCTGCCTACAACCTTAGCAGTAAAGTCCCCTAAGGTAAAGAGACAAACTCTAGACTGCTACAGTAAATCTATACCATCAAAAATCCTGAAGGCAAAGGTAGAAAGATAAATATATCAAAAGAACTAGAGCCACCCAGCCTAAAATTGGATTAAACTGTGATACTAAAGGAAATGAGGTTGTTTGTGCAATTAGGTATAGTACCTTGCTGAATTATGTACAGTGTTGCTTTGTACTTTTTGACGTGAATATACAGTATTATGCTTGCACTGCTATTACATTTCACTATTATTGTTGTTGATTTTACTATCATCATTATCATTTTTGCTAGTGCTAATATCATGCTGTTTTTTTCTCTCCTCCCTTGAAGCAGCCTATCAAGTGGTGCATTATATTTTGATAGGTATAATGTATATGATACTAATGTGGTTTTTATGTATGACAAATGACTATCTTCTACTGCCCTATTTGCTACTTCTTGAA